TGATTGATATACATAATCATGTTTTACAAGTGTGCATTACCGACACTTTGTAGATATAGCACATATCGGAACCAAAAAGTCGTGGACGTAGCACGGAAGACACCCAAAAGATCGTGGACATTGCCTACGGGATTCGTGGACATTGGCTACGTAGTTCAATGTGCACGTTTTGTGCACATAGAGGCGCTAACCCACGGAAACACGTAAAATGCGGGCATGTCCACTCTCAATCTTCTCTCTGATTCTTACGTCCATAAGACAAAGTTATTAAAAAAAACGTTTTTCAATTGAACATTGATATCTCGTGCATCGTACAATGTAAATTTGTAATGCACCGATTGATCGCGTTGGCAGATTGTGATTGGAACATTTTTGGCATATGCTCGCAAGTTCTCCTGACCAATGGGCATCGTTAACTCGCAGTTCCCGCTCCCTCCGCCGGCGCTCAAGTGCTTCCGGTACGGCCGGATTTGATGCGCCCATCTATATCCGAACGACATTCTCCGCGTTGCCAGTTCTCTACGCGCTGCATTTTCTGTCACACTGCAGCCGCAAGTACACAGCAAAAGTGAGGAAGACGCGTTACACCATACAGCACAACGTCGCGAACTGTTTTTATAATTAATATTCACATTTGTGGACCCGGTGTCTCGGCGTGCACTCGCGTGAGAGATTCCGCCGTCGTAGGCCGTTTACTCCATTAGTCGACGGCTTCCCGCGCGATAAGTAGCCGCTGCCGGCCGCGCCAGAGGTGCCAAGAGTGCGATCTCACCCTGCTTACACGCGAGAGTGCTTCGTCGTTCCATCAGGTAAGCGCGCGCTATTGTCATTGCAGCCGCGAGATATCGTCTATCCGTCGAGGTAGTCGCTCGCACGGGGCGCCTGGACGCCTCCTCGAGCGTGAGACGAATACGCTGAGAACACGCCTCCGCGTTGTAGCGTCGCGCGAATGCCCAAGGATGCCCGATTTCGACTTCTGATTCGGGCGAGCGACGTGTCGCCACGAGCTCCGAAATCTCCGGGCATGCCATCGGGGATGCGACTCTCCAGACCGCGATTCGCTCATCCGACGGTCCGTTCGCGTTGGCGTGTTTCCGTGGGATGTTGAAGAAACATCGCCATGCTTGCGCGAGCGACCGGGCGCGACCGCGCTCTCTCGCTACCACGAGGTGGAAGCGAGAGCACCGTGTTCTCGTCGGTCTCGGCTCTCTTCCTGTCCGTAATCTTCCCTATTTTTTTTTTTTTTTTTTTATTCGTCTCGCTTCACGAGACCGAAGGACAGAAGCTTCGAGAGAATCGTCTGCGAACAATTCGGGAGGAAACACGTGCTGCTGGAGAGTGTAGCACAGTCCTACACGAATTGTTAGGTAGAGAAAGAGAGACAAAGAAAGAGAATACAAGAGTAGTGGGGGGAGAGGAGAGAAAAGAGGGAGAGAGACGGCATCGTGAAAATTTTGCCATGCGCTTCGTCCAGCTACGCGTTACCAATCCCTTTGTGTTTGCCGCACATCGTATCATCCCGATTATTTGCGCACTACGTAATAAGGATTTCGGCCTCGGATAAGCTCTCGTGATATTACTGGCCATTGATTTGAAGCACAGAGATATTTTTTTAATATTCTACATGTAAACGAAATTTTTTGACCACGTGTATCTCGAAATTCAATAATTAAGACTATATGCTTCTATTGGTAAAAATACTGCTATATTTTTGGCATTAAAAGAATTTTTAGCACAATGGTATAAGCATTTCGTAGAAGCGTATTTGTTATAAGAATTAAATAACCGATTAGTGATTTAAATTTCTGTTGAGAAAGAAGTAATAAAAAATATCGATATATATATAATTAGTTCATTTTAACAGGATATATTTATCTATTTAAACGATATACATATATTCACATACGTGTATGATATATTTGTATAATGAGTAATAGCACAATGAGTAATATATGTCTGTATATTTACATCTTTCCAAAATGGTTCCAAAACTCAAGATGGTTGAAACTGATTCTTGGTTCCTTTTATATCTAATTCTATTTATATTACAATCATATTTACATATAAGATTGTATATTTAATTACAAGAATAGCTAAAAAAATTCATTAATATTTTATTTCTTCGGATTTACATACAAGATTTCAAGAAATAAAACAATATTTTATCTAATGAAAACATCATGTGTTCAAGAAAGATTTTATCAGATATCACTTAATTAATTTTACCTCAATTATATAATTGATAATAATATAAGTTTAATTAAAAATATGTAGTGTAATTCATATTTGAATTGAATTTAATTATCATTTTATTTATAATATTTTAAAATTATCCAAAAATACATCATCATAATATACTTTGATATATAAATTTTAATATGTTTTCCTCATTCATAATTTGAATTAATTTTTTAGCGCATGTTTACGCATAATCACAATTATCGGTTAAGAATTTTAATCGATCTAGATTGAAGAAAATACTAGATTGAAGAAAGCCCAAAAATTGAATTGAAACGTTTCTGTAGTATTATTTTGCACTGGTTTGTAATATCTTTTGAGTCTCGACATCCGCTTTTGATTCTTATAGTCTTTTCTGTTTTTTTTAATTAAAAATTTTTTTAATATGACAATTATATGATGTTTTAATCATTATGATTTTTTTTGTTTCAGATCTCTGCCTTAATAATTTTAGGATTTTACAATCGAACATTTAGTTTGCTGTTTGCAGCAAAATATTGCTTTAGAAGCTAGAAAGTAAAAAGATGGTCATGGAGGCATCTCCTTCTCCACAAAGTGTTGGTCGGGAATTTGTCCGACAATATTACACTTTGCTGAACCAAGCTCCTGCTCACCTTCATAGGTACTTTAGTTATCTAGCTATACTTTTTCCAAGTGAAAATTACGTCATAGAGATTTCTTATCAATTGGAATAGCGTACAATTATTCAATTTTATTTAATGAATATTTTAAGCATAACAATAATTTCTATGAATTTGATAATTAGGTTCTATAATCAGCATTCTTCCTTTGTGCACGGGGATGTGGATTCCAATCGGGATTGCACCCCGGCGATCGGTCAGAAGCAGATACACCAGAAAATTCAACAGCTGAATTTTCACGACTGTCATGCAAAAATAAGTCAGGTGGATTCTCAACTGACTCTTGAAAATGGAGTTGTTGTGCAGGTAAAATATATTATTTACTTTATATAAATCACAAGCAAAAAGATTATTTGCATTTATACTCTCATACTAAAAAAATATCAATTATACCAATACAAAGTATCAATTATTGAATATATTATTTTTATAGCAACACATTAAACTTTATTTAAACATTTTTATATAATTATTGCTATAGTATTACGTATTTATCTTTTATCGTTACGCAGGTATCCGGAGAGCTGTCTAATGCTGGGCAACCAATGCGTCGCTTTACGCAAACTTTCGTGCTAGCAGTACAAGCACCTAAAACGTACTACGTGCACAACGATATCTTCCGCTATCAAGATGTAATATTTCCCGACGAGGATGAAGCCGACGTAAGCGGCGCGGACGGTGGCGAAAGCGGCGAACGAGAGACCGAGGAAATCGGTCGAACCGAGCCTGAGGAAGACGAACACCAGACCCAGGCACAGCAGCTGTCGGCTCCCGCTCAAGCTGCCGAACAGCAAGCTCAACCGACTCTCATTCCAACGCAGCAAGCGCCGATTCAGCAGCAGCAACCAATGTACTACGCTGCGCCACCACAACCACATGTTAGTACAACAACTGTGATGTATCATTACTAAAACATGAAAGCTAAATATTGTTTGAGGCTATAGTAATACACAGTTATTGGCGAAGAATACGAAGATGCAAAGAAATACGTAAAGAATTTTACTTTTTATAAATTATAATTTTAATGCACCGTTATAAAGCAAAATTTAGAAATTATACAGTTTGAATTTAACGGAATAATTAAATTTGTCACCTAATTTTTACACAATTTATTATTAGATTATAATGTAGTGTTATTTGCAAACACCCATTGCTCAGGTCCACCCGGTCATACAGCAAGTTTTGAACGGAACGGTGCACGAAGAGGTGATGAATCAACAGCCGCAGCAGCAACAGCCGCCGCCTCCGCCTCCGGCCCAGCAGCATCAATATATAGCCGAGCCAGCCGCGCAGACCCAGTTTGTGCAGGAGGCGGAATTGAACGGCGAGCAGCAGCCGCAACAGCAGGAGAACGAACCGCAGGCTCAGACGGAGGAGAGGAGCGAGCAGCCTGAGGCGGAAACATTTACCGCATCTGCGCAAGAGACCGAGCCTGAGCATCAAATAACCAATGCCACCGTCAACAGCAGCGGACCCAAGACCTATGCTAACTTGGTAAAGTCTTCTTACCCAAGCGCCATTGGTGCTACTAGCCCTCAAGCTCCTAAACTGTCCTTGTCTCCGGTAAGTTTTGTTCCTGCCGTTAATGTTCAGCCTTCTGAAGCCATTTGAAAGATACGATAAACAAGCTTGTTTTTTTTTTTCCCCCTTTCCTACAGCCTCCCATGACGAATCTACGCATGGACGACAGATCGCCGTTGCATCCTGCGAATAACGGACCGACTTCTATGTCCGCTCCTAACAATGTATCCGCGGCTCAGCAACAAGTGCATCGAGTGGGCGGAAATCAACCGCCGCAACAACAACAACATCCTCAGCAGCAACGTGTTCGAGGAGGATTAATACAAAGAGGTAAAAGAATGCAAGATAAATATATTTAACGACAATCTGAAACAAGATCTTAACAAAGGAAGCATATTTCTCGTCAATTATATTGATTATTTAAAAAATTTCTTTTCTTCGTTTGTTTTAGGCAAATAAAATTTGATTTTATGTCGTTGCATATTAAAATATTATTCCTTAGATGGAGAGCGTCGTGGCACAAGACCAGGACAATACAGCGATGCTCATCAACTCTTCCTGGGGAATTTACCACACAATGCATCCGAGAATGATTTGCGCCAAGTATTCGAGCGTTACGGCAGAGTCGCCGAATTGCGCGTACACAGTAAATCGAACGACAGATGCAAAGGTCCGCAAGCCGGCAACAACGCGCGAGTGCCTAATTACGGATTTATTACATTTGAAGATCAACAGGTTGTGACCAAAGTGTTGAATTCTTTGGTACGTTTACATTCTTAAACATATATATATACACGTTTAACAAGGATACAAGTTCTTGCTCATATTACAATTATCGTTTTAGCCAATCTATTATCCGGATGAAAGTGGACAAAAATTGAATGTGGAGGAAAAGAAGGTGAGGCCTAGAATGTCTATGGACGGTAGCGGAGGACGATTGAATTCCGGTGATGGTGGTATGCGTTCTATAAATAACCAACAGCAGCAGCAGCAACAACAACAGCGCGGACCAGGTAATTTCCAGACTGTTTTCCGATTTATTGATCAATGGAATGATTTAACTTACTTATCTCTTATTGATTTAATGTCAGGCGGCCCTGTGATGAGAGGTGGACAGCATGGTGCGCGAGGTGGCCGCGGAGGTTTCTCACGGGGTGGTGACGGCGGTAGGGGCGGCGGTGGCATGCGACAACCGGGCAATCCGAGCAATCCCGGTTATCAAAACCGTCGCTAATACCGGTTGCAGCACGCAAAAGTCACAACATCCTCTTAATAATCCAACCTCTACTGAATAAAAGTCATCGGAGCCACCATGCATCTGCCATCTTCATTTCGAGAAATGAAATCCAGAACTATTTCGTATGCCGCACGACCTCGCAACCGGCGCCACTCTTATACGCTTAAACGTTCGCTTGCAACAACGTTCGTCAAGCAACAACACAATAACAGTCGATACTAGATGACGTAGCTCAAAAAGAAGTCGTACGAAATACGAGCTCGAACATGGAAGACACGCCAACGCGACTTCATCGAAATCTCGAGCGTAGAATGGATTCTCCTCGCGCGAGACGTCGAACTTAGTGCTGTGTGTTCCAGTTCGTCAAAATGTCAGTTAACCAGCTGATAATCGTCGGTTCGAGTTCGTCCTTCGTACATCGAGAATCGGGCAATCCCGCAGGACTTTGTGACGCAAAGCACATAAACGGAGCGCAATCATACAAACGCACGTACAACCGTGCGATAAGTCCAAAAAAAAGGAGCTCAAAAGAGAATGTTGCCGGAATGTGGTAAATTTTAGTGAACGGGGAAAGGCGACGTGATCTGAAATCGGGGAATTGTGTCGGAACTCTTTGCGTAGCGATTTTAAAATAACGCGCGTCATTCAACACTACGCGCCTTTCCTTTGACTCGCCGGAATCACAGGAGGAGACAAAGAAGCGAATTTCATTGTACACTTCACACAGAACGACCAAGCGAGAGAAGGACGAGGGAGTGACGTGCGTAGTCTCGCACGCTTTCGAGTCGACGCACCAACCGCCAACGAAACGTCTTTTTTCCTTTTTGCCATGTATAACTGGAATGAGGAACTGAATTGTTGTTTTTCTTTCTATCTTTCTTTCTGTAGAATTCGAGACTGTGTCCCGGTTGCACGCATCAAAAAGAAAGAAAAAAGGATAAGAAAAACGACAATTTAGTTTCTTCCTGCATGACCTTTTGTTTTATTTTTGCCGACCATCGGTGGTACAATTTTGTACGAATAAACAAAATCACAGTGTAAAAAAATATTAGAAAAAATTGTTCTTACAATTGACGATTGTTCTTATTGCCGGTAAGAAAATTTTATCAGTTTTTATTCACGTTCGAAGTCATTACGGAAAGATTATTGATATATATCATGCACGAAATACGAATTTATATTTGCATTAATTTATAATTGAAAAGTAAAAAAACTCTCTAATTTCTTTCACGACTTTCAGAGATTTGATTGACTATTATTGATCAAATTTATAGACTGACGAGAGTTTTGCTACACTGCCTCACGGACATATATTCGCATTTCGTGCTTTTATAAGAATAATTGTTACAATGTTAATTGTGAGAACAATTTTTTCTAATATCTTTTTACACTACGATTTGGTCTTCTCTTACAAAATTGTAAACATTTTTCTTAATTGATGATCAACAACAAGAATAAAAAAAAAGGTTGTAAAGGAAAGAAAATCGATCGTTATTATAATTTTATCCTGTCATAAAATCTTTCTATTCTAGGCATCTACCTTCTTTTTTCCTCACACATATATTTATTATTACTTTTATTTAAATAAAATTTGTAAAGATCGTACATGCGCATAGTGTAATATTGCATCATCGAATCATTAAATTATCGGTCGTGAGACAGCATTTTGCAAAGATTGTTGATATTTTCTGCTAATCGCAGTGCGTCGTTAGATACGAATTATGACCAGTACGAAATGTGTCCGTGAGGCAGTGTGGCAAAACTCTCGTCAGTCTATAAATTTGATCAATAATAGTCAATCAAATCTCTGAAAGTCGTGAAAGAAATTAGAAAGTTTTTTGCTTTTCGATTATAAATTAATGCAAATATGGATTCATATTTCGTACGTGACGTACGTTAACAATTTCTGCGACCTTGTGAATACAAACTAACATTTTTCTTCCTCACAAAATTTTGCTTTTTTATGTGTTGACTTTAGTTTCTGTTTCTTTAAATACACACGTGCTTTTTATCAATAATTATAATTTGTCTGCCTAATCCCAGAGTGCTCTCTTCGCATTTATCCTCTTAGAGCATGTATTTGCTATAAATGAAGCTCTTAAGCCTACGACTGTATTGCATCGAGAAATACAAACAGATAATACTATCAGAAAAGGAATTAACAATATCTGAGAAAAATTACGCTCTTACAATAATGTGTATGAGCATCATTCTTGAAATAAATTGTTAATTTTTTTAGATGGTATTATTTATCAGTATTTTTGGATGCAATACACTTGAAAGCACATTTATTAACGAAATAAGAGCTTCGTTCAACGCAAACGTGTAAAAAGCACGTAAGAGAAACGTGCATTCTGTAATTGATCGAACAAATTATAATTATTGATAAAAAGCACATATATATATTTGAAGAAGCAGAAGCTCAAGTCAGCAACGAGAAACGAATTTTGTGGGAGAAAAAATGCATTTGCTTGCATTGTCAACATAAGAGTATGCTAATTTGTAATTAAACGCGATTATCAGAAGACATCAAGAATCTCCGCAAAAGTCTTGCGACTGATAATTGAATGATTGGGCGATGCAATATCAAACTATGGTCGCTAACGATTTTTACGAATGTTACCTAAACGAAAGTAATAATAAGTAAATGAATGTGTGCTAAGATGCTAGAATAGAAAGATTTTGTGATGGAGACAAATGAAAAAAAAAACGCATCGCGACACCCTGTGTCTGGGACACGGCGTCCGTGCCATTGCTAACTTCTCGGCGCGCCCGCTCGAGGCCACGCCTCGTTTAACGTTTATATTTTTTAACATGCATCATGTCTTAACGAATAATGTTGGTCATTGTAGTATTACGCGATTTTGATGTCTCGTTTAACACGGCTCGAGGCGGTGACGACGACGATGACAACGATGACGATAATGACGCGGCTGCTCTGACCCAGATGCGGATAGAGGGATAGGTTTCGCGGGGCTGCGCCCCTCTGCCGTTTGCTGTTTCCGACAATTAGTGAAAGAAAGATAAAGAAAAAAATTGACAAGCATTCTCTCCCGGACAAGCGTCCTTGTCGGATATGTAATGTCTCAATCTTAAGGCCGGGGTCCCACGGCTCGCCACGACTTGACGAATTACACGAAGCTGTCCCGAGCCGCGAAATCGGGATCGCTGCTCACGATTTGTAGCTCGTCGTTTCCGTTTAGCGTCAGTAAACTTGCGAGTTGAACATAAGCAAGTACCTACGATGAGCACAAACGAGCCATGAATCATGAGAAACCACGCGCCATGCGACCCCTGCCTAAGCCTATATTCCGTTATAGATAAATGCTATGTAGAAAGTAATAAAGATTCGATCCATCGAATCGTTTCTCTTTATAAGTTAGTATAGTAACGCGAAAACGTATTTCCGGATTTTGTCGATAGTTGTCACGTCATTGGCACTTTAGTATTGTTATAAAAAAGAAAAAAGAAAAAAAAAAAAAAGAAAAATTGATCATTAAATCTGACCCTGAAGTATACAGGATGGAGCACTTTATCACTTCTCTCTTCCTTGCAACAAACATTGAGTATTACGTATATTTTGTATAATTCTGAAAAAAATATCACGAAATAAGGAAATAGATTTTTTCAAGTTGCTTTCATTTTCGAAGATGTGATAAGTCTGATATCAAATTTTCTAAGCGATTTTGTATGCTTAAAATGAAAATCCGAGCGAATTATAGACATCTCGTTCAAATTTAGCAATTTGAATTTAGCATATGAAAATCCTACAAAGTTTAAAATAGCATGACGTATAAAAACTGTAAATTTAAGTAATACTTTTTCTCATAATGTTTGCATATCAGCCATATATAGTCAGTTTTCACAATTATGTATTAGAAAATTTTATTTAACACTTCGAAGTTGATATATTATCATTTTCGAAAACATTATTTTATATCGTATCTTCAAAAATAATATTTATAACGTGACATCCTTTGAAAGTCAGGCAAAACGTAAAAAACGGAACACGTTACAATCGCGCTATTATTTTACCATTAAATAATTTAACACTGACTGTTACAACAATCGTATGCAAATCACTCCCGCAATTCCTTGAAAACCGTAAGCATTCGCATATAGTTAAGGACTTTATTTTTCGCTTATCAACGACGAATGCAAATTACGTTAAAATGGAATTGAATTACATGGAAGATCGACACTCACATGTAGCTGCCGTAATTCCGACGAAGGTACCGTCGTGGACGGTGTATCTATAACGTAGCAATCAAAGTGATTAAAAGAACAAACATGAATCCTGGCGTGCCGGTGTTAAGTGCGAGGCATGTTCGGTTAGCGAAAAATTTTTGCAAGAGTGAGTTGCACTTTATTTAGTATATATTTATTGTTTTAAACAAGGTCTAATACTGCAGTGATAAAATATTTACCTTTCGCAGTATGTAATAAATGTAACACGGTACATGTGCCACTAGAAGGAGAGACTTCAAATATTGAAGCGCCAGCTGCTTCAACTTTGTATACATATGTAGGGCATGTTTAAAGGGATATTTGTATGGGAATTTGTGTGGGTAAGAGAGAAAGAGAGAGAGAGAGAGAGAGAATTGTCATTTTACATCCTCTTGTACATTAAATACGATAAATTGTGTCTGTATAATTATTTTTAACCCAATGTAAGGTCGACTTATACATCCAGTACTTCTTCACCAGTCAGCACATTGTGCAATTAATATATTCGAGAGAGAAAGAGAGAGAGAGAGAGAGAGAAAGAAAGAAAGAAAGAAAGAAATGTTTTATGCTAAATGATATAGTCATAATAGTCATCTAATATTTGCAATCGCAGATTATGACTTCCGATTTTTTCGCCTGCCACTTACTATAAAATGTTCTATACGCTCACTCACATCGTTTGACTTCACCTTATCCATGTGCATATCTGTGTGTTCAAGTACAACGTGTTCAAAGCTGCAGTTATGCGAGATCATCGCTTTGCATACTTGAAAGAGAGCTCTGCAAATTTTTAGTGTGAATGTTTTCGTTTTTAAGTATTAATAATAAATGATAAAATAATAAAAGATAAATATAATAATGAAAACGAAAGAAGGGGATATGAAGAAAAATATACAAATAATTATAACGATATATATAATAATGATTAGAGGATGGCGGCTAATAAGTTGTGAATTTTTGTAGTATACATTTTTATTTCGGTCTGCCAGGCCAACTTGTGTGTACAACCAACAACTGAAAACAAAGTTACTGCGATAAAGAGGGGGGAGAAAAAAAAAGATAATGTTAAAGGAAAGATAAAAAAAAACAAACAAACATTAAATGTATTGTAACTTTTTGCATTTAGTATAATATACATATATATACCTACCTTACTACCAACCCCTATTATAATATCTCTTTATTTATCGCAGCATGTTCACCTTTAATTTCGGCACGAACTTTATTAGCCAGCTTCATATATATGGAGTCACGTTTCCTCTATAATCTGTTTTGCCAACTTGCTGAGTACGGAATCATCAGCATTTGGCGGTAGTCGAAACGGTAAGCAAAACCTATAACGAGGACGGTATATTCGTAATTTTCACAGAACTCATAATTATATCGGGACAAACAAGGATTTTGTGCGACCAAGTTTTAGCAGAAACGACGCCAGAGGTATTTTAAATTTTTCTTCTAATTTTTCAACTGATTTTGTTGATTATATTACAGATATGCTTAAAAATATATTCATGCACATAATTAACTTTTTCAATTTTGATGGTGGTTCATGACGTGAATTTTAACTAAACGTTTAAATATGATAATTCTTTTCGAGAGCTTAATGTGGAGCGAGTTAAAATGGTATATTTTTTTTGAATAATTTGGTCATTTGACTATCAAATTAACATTCTTCATCAGAATATTCCGAAAACGTCTGGTTAGAAGTTAGAACAATCCTCGAGAATATTAATGCTCGCAGACGAATATTTGTGATATCGCCAACGCGATCAGCCATGTGCAAGTGCTGTACGCATTACGCATTGCGTAAGAGGACGCGTAAGAATGACAGCAGAGCATACGCGTGTGGCGGAAAGATCGGACGAGGGTGTAGGAAGACAGAAAAACGCAAGGAGATGAGATCATCTTTCCTCTCCAGCCGCACTCTCCGATGGACTCGCCACGGCGCGGTGCCGCGCTGCGCCGCGCCGCAACGCGCCTCGAGCGCAGTCAATACCGGTCCAGCGACCGATTTGGAGGGCTGTTCTCTTCTTGATCTTTCGTTTCTGAGGAAGGAAGCTGACAGAAGCAGTCTGTGAAAAGAGTTAACGCAAAAGGTATAGTTGACTCATGATTTTTCATCGCATCGTCTTGCCGAAATTTCACTTGATCTTATATTTTCATGATTTATCACTGCCACTTTTGTCAATTAATAATAATATTATATTATAAATAATTGTCGTTTATATTCAAGTAGTTCATTATATGGCACGCTATAAATAATTTATATTAAGTTTTTTAAAAGATCATTAATCATTAAAAATGCATTATTATTAATCTTATTTTTACAAGCTCTCATTATCAGCTCCAAAGCTAATTGGCAAGTAGAAGTTATAATTTACGATGTGGATTATTCATAAAAACGTTTTATTTTTTATATATATAGCATACTGATACCACATACAGAATAAATACTGAATAAAAACAGTATTTAGACGCATGAAAATTGCAAGAAATTGTAATTGCGCATAGACATGCACAAAAATAAAAATAAATCACTTGCAATCAGAAACATATAAAGGATTCCTTTTTAGCATAAAGTCTTTTCATCTTTAAACGGAATTTCTTTCCACAGAATTGGCTTCTCCAAAGAACTTTCCACCGTCCACTTTTTACATAATTCAATTGAAAAGTATATTTATATCTGGAATAAAATAAATAAATAAAAGACAAAGTAATATATTTTAAATGAAATTTGCATGAGAAATGCATCTCAAGTATTTTCACACGCTAATGTGAGCGATTCACAAAACTGCATGCGATGAATTTCTTTATCTAGTGGGTGTATCCATAACCAATTTATCTCTTGCCATGTATTTCTCGGAAATCATGTCCTTTCCAGGACGGAAATCCACTACCCTTTGTTTGTTAGAAGCTCGTTTTCGCCAAGATAAAGATGTTATTATTTTGCCTTACTTTTGAACTAAGCTACATTATTATCGTTACGTTATATTTATAACGGAATTCTTGCGACAATTTCTTACAACTTTATTTCTCCAGAATAATTTGCTAAAGCAAGCAATTTTCATTAGAGACCACAGACTTACATCTGCACATTCTATACGTTCTGTTATTCATAATAATATTGGTTCGCGTATAAACTACCGCTCGTTAACGAGCAAATTGGACGAGATGAATCGAATCAACGCATTCAACTTGAGTATCTCGTCAGCAAACTAGTTAACTTTTAATTCCACGTTGGTGAGCTGGCGTATGAACATCGTAGATAGGAAGATGTGTCCCTGATGTTCCAAGCTTTTACGGAATTATACGTCCTGTGGGCGTAATGGTCGATTCAAGCGGATAAAATAGAATTTTCATAAACAAGGTTCACATCATCTCAATTTACGTCGAACATCCTGTGTCAAAAGTTTATCTACATTTTTCAAAGTCTTTAGTCAAAGTATTTCAAAGTTATTGTCTTCGATTAACCAATGCATGTATTCACTCTATCAATTGATTAATTAATGTTTATTGTAACAGCTATTTAGATGCAGTTTGCCTTTAACACACTTCGAAATAAATTGTATTCGTAATTTTCTTCATTAGACATTCTATTGGCTGACTTTAAACGGTGAAAGCCCGTTGCGCAAATTGATCAATCAACATGTTTGATGAACTCTATTTTATATCGTCTATTGTTGCATATAAAGTTAATTACCGGAACTACGAGTTCGTTAAAATTACACTTTCGTCCGTTTGCAAGCGATTCGCCCACGTCGTCGAGTGGCGATAAAAAAAGGGGCCATGTGCCGCGCGTGCGATTCCTACGCGCGCATCCCATATCTCGCGCGCCGTCGACTCCACTTTTCGGAGAACCGCGCGACGTACCACGAACGTACTGCGGCATCAAACGACTCCGAGCGATCGCCACTTCTCTGTAAAGAAAGAAAAAACAAGACTTTAACCCGTCAAAACGTAACTCTCCTCCCATTCGCTCCGATTACGCGATTAGACGGTTAAATTGTAGAATTACGCAAGTTTTTGCGGAATCGTCGCGGTTTGATAAAGTTAGTTTTACTGGATGTACGCATTATAATACGAGATTTAATGGCCATAAAATCACGAATTAAGAACGTAAAATTAAGAATTAAGAATAATAAATTGAAATTATAGAATAAGCTATTATTATTTTGATATAATTTTGAGACCGCTTCTGATCAAATCTTGCGACATAGTCTTCCTACACCGGTAAGAAGCCGGAAAAACATGATATGCGTTGGCTGTCCCCTCGATTAAGAAATTTGTGAATTGACCGAAACACTAACTTAACGAACCGCGGACATCTCGAATTGTAAATACAATTAGACGGAATTAAGGCTCAGCGGTGAGTCGAGTAATGTATTTAACTCATGAATGACAGGAAACGGTTCGCGCTTTATTAGCCGAGCACCGATACGCAGTATCGTCAAGATATTTACATGTCCGGAGATATAAACACATCGTGAATCTTCTTATACGTGTTACAAGAGAATCAGTTCTTGCCTTTTTTCATTCGTTAAACAAAATTGTCTCAATAAGAGATACGAGTAAAAGTCATTTAAAATTAGAAAAATATACCGTGCAATCATTAACTATGTAAAGCTCGTGCATTAAATTACATTTAAATAATGTAGTATTTTTTTATTAAATCAAGTCTGTTATTTGGTCATCTAATTTAAGGCAAAGCTTGCAGATCGCCTAATTTAAAGCGAACCAAAAAAGACAACAGCTAAATGCGGACGTTATATTGCGTCCTTCGCCGTTGTAAAGTGCATCAATGAGACTGATGACGCGTAACTCGATTATATCATGCATATTCGCGAAAGGTGACGAGAGCGAAGAACGTCGCGTGCGAAGGAAAGGAAGTCGTAAGCGAAGTCGTAGCGAAAGTGCGCTTGACCGTTCGAATATATTTCAAACGACTCGATTTTCAAGTATCTGGGTTATCGCTTCGTTGCTTCTATTAAGATCTGGCGAGATTTATCGCTGGTCTTGCGTTGACCCGCGCTTGCGTTAATCAATGCGTACATGCATGCGTGCGTGCGTGCGTGCAGCTTCGTATTACGTTGCCGATATAGATTTTTCGGAACAGCAACGGAATGTCGCGAGCAAAATGCGCCTTTCATGTCTACGCCAATTGAGAACACGAGCAATAAAATATTAGGAGCGAGAAATGACTGATTTATTTACACACGTTTAGACCGCACCCAATTTAGCTCAGGAATATTAACCCCTTTCAGCGCCGAGGCTTGGATCTATTCCGAGAAAAATCTGAGCTTTTTACACCACCTTGTTTTCACAGTGCTGTATACAAAATTCAGAAGTTTCTTAAGATTTGTCGGTAATCTTTGCTTTGCGAAAGTGAAAAAAACGATAAAATGAGAAAAGCGAATCAAGAGAGAGAGAGAGAGAGAGAGAGAAATAAAGCTTCGCGATTAATAATCCAAGTTTTTAGGATCTTGTTGAGAAACGTGAAGAATAAGATGAAAATAATTTATAATTCTTCTTCCCGATGCAATCTTGCATATCTAAATCTTCTCTAGACTTCTCTGAACTGATTTGTAGATATGATATATCCCTAATAAATGGGTCGCAGTTTACGAGGCTCGTAAATTACTCAGAACGTGTTTGGAGTAATAACGATACTATTGCTCCAGATATTATCAGACTTCGTTAAGATCGAGACCGTTGTGCTCTGGATCCATCATTTTAAAGAAGAAGCAATGACAATACTCATCGATATCGATTTGCAGAGATCGCAATGCGGACGAAGCTGCAGCTGCTGTTGCTCGCGCTGCTCCTGGCCGTTCTAATAGTGGACGCGTCCAACCAGGTATTATCATTATTTAATGATACCAGGCGATAATTTGTCTAATCACATCGCGCGCGAATAGTTATCGCAGCATCAAAAAAAGGAATTTAAACAAAAATATAATAAATTAATTTTTCTGAATTTTTTTCAAATTTTTCTCGCATATTCCATTTTATCTTAAATGTATATTGTATTGCAATACATAAAACTAGATATTTCATAATTGTAGAGAAGTGAAGGTACACATTTGAATAATTCAAATATTGTACATCACAATAAATAGAAAGCTTTCTGCGTATAAAAGCAATAACACTTTGTATTTTTTTAAAGATACGAACTTCCTGTAACGCTGTATATCTACACAACTATCTCCTATTTAATGATAATCGATTCTCAGCGCAAACGGAAATTCGGTCGGCGTCGTACGACCACGACCGAAGCATCCGTGCAGGATGAAATCATGAACATGCTGGAGGCTGACGAAACAGCCGAGGAGGCGGCGGCAGCGGCGGACGCTGAGGTCACTCTCGAAAATGGCAGAAACGAGGTTGGATCGAAGCGAGAGCGTTTGCTCCAAGCGGACCCGTGTATGGACAAACATTGCGGTGCAGGACGCGTTTGCCAGGTTGGTCAGCGAGAAAGCTCGTTATAAATAAAAAATTATTACTCCGTGCAACGCGACAAACAAGAAAAGATTTTCTTGCGTAGATTTAACACACGCTACAGAAATAAGTAACAGAAATATATTTCTTAGTGTTCATCCTTGAATAAAATTTCTCCTTAGATATTATCAAGAGTTTTAAACTTCAAAGTTTTATTTTGGGATTTTCTTGCACTACTTCCAGCTCTTAATATTTAGAAACACAATAAGAAACCGAATGTGGAATAGTAAAAATTGCACCCTAATATATCTTAATCCTGAATGAGAATTTTGTCCTTTTTTTTAAAGATAGATAGATAAGTACGAAAGAGATGGAATATTTTCGATTTTAGAGCACGGAGGAGGGCACGGCCGAGTGCGTTTGCGTGGAAGTCTGCAACCCGGAGGTCGATCCGCGTCGCAAAGTCTGCACCAACTACAACGAGACCTTCGGTAGCGATTGCGAAGTTTATCAGGCGCGTTGCTTCTGCGACACCGGTGACGCCAGGTGTAGAGGGCCTGATTATCAACACGTTCACATCTACTATTACGGCGAATGCCGACAGATGCCTGTAAGTATTATTCCGTCACAGGTGGGACGCTTCATGCGAAAAAACCGTATCGTAATAATAAGCGAAAAAGTCTCCATTATTAGGTCTTTGCGAAAAGATTCTACTGATACTATTTTTTTTAAACAATTATCTTTATATTAATTAATTTTTATCAATGTATATATTGCAAAAAAAAATTGTTTGTATTTATATCTACTAAACGAGTATTTTTTTAACTCGTTCAAAAAAGCCAGTGTATGTAGCTTTGTTATTTTTGCCGTAAAGCATTCGTTTCGCTAACAATAAAAATGTTCCATTTTATTGTTAGAGTCTATTATTTTCATACGGCAAAATGTGGACTATGAAACAAAACTTCCATTAATCGACATATCCGCCTTACTAATTTCTGATTGAAACAAATAATAAAGTAAAGAATTTTTAACAATTTTTACAAAATCAATATTTTAGAGTGCTCTTTAATTACTAATGCATTTATGCATTTGCTTTTTGATGCGTGCAGATGTGCAAGGAAGAGGACATGGCCGATTTTCCCAGGCGAATGCGCGACTGGCTGTTCAACATTATGCGTGATTTGGCAGACCGTCAGGAATTGCCGTCACATTATTTGAAAATGCAACGCGAGGCCGAGACTAATAACACATTGCGCTGGGCGAATGCGGCTATCTGGAAATGGTGTGATCTGGATGGCCATCCGCATGACCGGTCGGTGTCCCGACACGAGCTCTTCCCCATAAGAGCGCCTTTGATGGCCCTCGAGCATTGCATCGCGCCCTTCCTCGACTCCTGCGATGTCAACAATGATCACAAAATCACGCTGATCGAGTGGGGCAAGTGTCTACAGCTTGATGAGGTATTTGTCTTTTTTTTTCATGTTCTTTTCTTTCAAAAATAACGTAAACAAATAGAAAAATCTTTTGCATGAATCTTTTAGTATATCAATTAATCTCCTTTGCAAAATATAATTTCAATTAATACATGTTATTATATCGCCTTGCGATATAGAGCTTGTAGAGAATAAGGTTTTAAAATAATTTCTTCGTTAGTTTATTACCGCGGCACACATGGAATTGTGCATATATTGTGATGATAAACGTGTAAGTACTGGCATTGTGTAGTAAGATAATCACTTAATCTAATTCTTAAACAAATTTATGGCCTTCCGTGATTATGCAGAATTTAATATTTACGTGCAGATTTTTTTACTCAAGGGTTTTTTATATTTAGCCGGAAACCAGCTAAGTTTCTCACAAATTATTCTTTCCAGAAACACTATTTATTTTTTAATCAATACTATTATTTGTACTATGACTTAACATTGTTTTAATATTATATGATATTTTTATATCCTTGAAGCAAAATTTTTGACACAATCTTAAATAATAGCAGTCCCAAAAAATGTTCAAAAACTAAATGTTAAGTACTTGCGTAGAAATACCATCTCCTAACGAGAATTTCTCAATATCGCGTAATCTTATTAATTATGACAGGAATAATGAAAATAATAACAATTTCAGGATGATATAGACGATAAGTGCGACGAGCTGGCAGAAGCGAACCAGGAGTAATATTAAAAGCGCGTCGGATCCTCCTTGGAGAAAGACGGGAGACGGGGCGCGAGCGAGACGGCGAATACAAGAGATCGGGTCGGGATGCGAGCACAATAGCTGGACGGGACAAACGGTCGAGGAGGAAGCGAAGGGCGCAGGTGACGCGCAGGGCAGGGTCGGATAAAAATGGCGGGAAAAATTACTGCGAACGCGCATACACGGGTTCGTCAGAGCGCAAGTCCGGCGCGTGTCGACGAGTCGATACCGCGCAACGAGGCATCATGGTGCTGCCGATATACCTGGCTCCCGTCTCGTGCGTGCCAGCAACCGACAACCGACTTCGTACTGCGCTCCTCAATAATACAAGCCGTATCATCGTTACATGGCGGCGCAATTCGCGATCACGGCTGATTACGCCAGCGGAGAGAACTCGAATCCCCGCGTGTAATCGAATATTCACTAAATGCGTCTCGATACTTAGAATCGCATGATTCGATTAATTCGAATTCAAGTACTTCAAGTACAAGAAGCTATATTTCGATTATAAATGTAAATAGAATGTAAAAATGTAAATGTAAATGAGATATCGAGAAACTCACCGACAAGTCCCGCATATTCCAATTATTCGAATAGTACCATTGTGCGAATATTTATGTCCTTTACGTCTCTACATTCTCCGTTACGATTATATTTTACCGCTTCGTTGCAAACCGTCTGTTTCGCCGTCCAATGATGTCTTAGAGAACCATTGTAGCAATCGATATTTCTTCCATGAAGGAAAGTCGCCGATATACATTTTTCTGAAAAGTATATTACACTTTAAAAACACACGCTAAGTCATACAGAGAATTCAATATAAAAACGCCGGTTCGTTCGCGCTCTTTCTAGTATAATTTTCATGTTATCCTGTAGTGATATTTTCTGTATCTGATCTTTTGTAAGAAGTCACTGCCCTTTTCCGTCAATAAAAAAATTAATACCTTTGTCTAGTTTTTTCTCGCAATATTATTTTCATTCTTCAATATTTATATTATCTCTCTTTATCTTATTGTAGCAGAGATGTGATCCAATGTAAATTAATTTGATTTAATTAAACAATATATTATATATATTATATATAGAATATTATAACAGCGATGCACATATTATTTTACATCTCAATTTATTATTTTCCGATATGGAAATACTCGTTAATATAATATTTTCCGTTACCATTTCACAAGCATATTATATTACTGAAATTATTGAGTCAATATTGTTGATAACATAACCGTTACACAATATTATTGACTGTGTAAAGACCGCTTTATTTGTGATGTTATCTCATCCCTAGCAGAATCGTGCCGCGATTTCTCTGTTTATAATCATAAATTTATTGCATACATTTCACAGGAGAAAAAAATAAAACAGAATTTACATGCTTATTAATGCATGAGAAAAGTATCTAACTTCATTTTTAGTCCGCCCATAATCTTTTAATTTTATATACAAAACTCAAGAACAAACTTCGTTATACTGTAAAGAGCACAAAAAAATGTGCTTCGCTAAATAAAATAAAATCATAAAATCAATAATTTGATTTTAACATGTTTTTTCCGCAATGTATACGATATGCTAAGCTATGTATAAGTATTAAAAGTTGCTCGATTGTCATCAGTAAAACACAATTGACTATTTGCTTAGGTTTTTACAGCAAGACGCATACAAGCAAATTATAACAATGCTGCTTCGCTTTTACCTCAATATTTACTTCATTTTCATTCATATAACCTGTCGCGGTCCGTCAACGAAACGACGACGACCATCCGGGCGACCTGAAATTGCTCGCAGAAGTACGTTACACGCATGAGCAGAAAGCATTATCGTTCGAGCAGTAACTTGTCAAATCAGTCGCCAGGTGGCAAGTCGTTCGTCCGCTGCTTCGCTCCCATTAGCTGGCTGTGGTCACGTGGCACGATCGCGGGACGCGCCCGCAGCGCCAAGCGCGGGCTCGTCGCGTTTAGACGGCGTCATTCGTGGCTGCTCGCAAGTCTTTCGTGTTGATTGTGAGTGAGTGCTGTATAACTACGTCGCGCAATGGTGAGTATCCGCGAGTTTTTGTCGCGTTGGACGGTCATCCGCGACCGCTACGGACACCACCATATGCCGCGGACTCTCCTCCGTTCACTGACGGAGTTTCACGGCTGAATCTCGCAAATTAACCTTGATTTTCGTGTCTGAACAGGCTGGCGGAAAGGCGGGCAAGGATTCCGGCAAGGCAAAGGCGAAGGCGGTCTCGCGTTCGGCCAGGGCCGGCCTACAGGTAAGCCGTACCGACGTTGAACACACTAATATACATAAGCAGAATCGATGAATAAACACATGTGTATCCAGATTAGACATCCCGACTGTTACATTTCCTCCGTACGTTACCGCGGCTTTACAGGTTAAACCATCATGGTTGGCGCGAAAAACCGAGTCGAGTCTCGGAAGTGTAACCGGCGAAGCATTTTTCGACGGTTTATGGCTCGCCTGGATTCGCCTAACGCGCGCGTCGCAATACCGCGTGCCTCGTTCTTTGTACGCCACGACGAAGCTTCGAGAAATAGGCGTGTGTGACGGTTTATTTTTTGAATTCGTTAGGCGATGTCTGTGACCGTTTTCAAACGCGCGAGTGACCGGCTCACCCGTTCAATTCCTCGTCGTCGTGGATACTCGAACATGCGGCGATACTCGATTGCGCATTGTAAATGAAGAATCAATTTTTGTCGCCTGTTACGCGATCGTAACAATCGTGCAACCACGATCATGCAAATTTGACTTCTGTCGGGCAAGCTCTTGAACTGACACAAGTGAAGCGTGGTTTCCGTTCGCCGTTTGTTGTTTCCCATCCTGCGATCGCCGCGACCGACGGTTGTCATCGATACTTACGACCGGCTTTTTATCGTATTTACATTCGTCGGCGTGACGTGTGTCGTGCGATATCCACGACCATGAGTATCTATCGACCGTGTGCGTGCACGAACGTTTATCCGCCGACTTAACCCCTGTCGATGCACGCAATTACGATTCCGCACAGGCAATCGATCGAACCGGGCGACGAGGCGCGAGAATTGCAAATTCGAACGAATCGTCGATCCATTTCGTTTATTCCTCGATCCCGATACGCGGGTATTATTCTATTCTGTCGCAGATATCTCATCGATCGTTCATCGTTTATGTTGGACGCGCATAAAAGGCATCGCAATGTCGAGAGTATCGCTTTGGAGTGAATTTCGCCCACTTGATTGTGCGTAGAATGCCGTCCACTCGATGCGGAATGCAATTTTCACTAATGTAATTTGATACGTCGAATAAAATTCCATCGAATAAAATCGAAGTTACATAATAATACCGAATCTGTTCACTGAAACATGTGAAAAAAAAAACAATGTTTGCTCTAAAAATTGACATAATTTTTTTCAACAAATTTAAGTAAACATCACTTCGGGTGTAATTGGCAACTATTGCAAACTTTTACGATTGCAATATTAAATATTTTTGTAATTAAAAATTAAGAACATTATTTCAATTATTTCACTATCCAATTAATTCAAGAAAGTTAACAGATCACTGATCACCGAGTGCTTTTTCAACTATTTTTTTTTTCACTTCGAATTCAATTGCTGTCATCGATTTGTTTAGTTTAATTAAAATTAGAATATTTCAAATACTTAAACGAAATTACGGAGACATTCTTTTACATTAAAAAAAATTCGAAAATTACACGTCTGTGATTAAAGTTAGTTATTGCTATTTTAATAACTAATTATCAATTTCGTTTTTTGATATGTTATCAATATCATATGTTGCGTTTTTATCATTATGATGAAAGTTCTTAATTATGACACTAAAGCACGATCGAGACGATCTGTCTTTCAAATATTAATTGAATATCTGTCATTTTGGTAAAATCTATATTCACATTCCACATTTAACATTGAACTGCGCGGTCGAATCTTCTTTGTCTACGGAGATCGCGTACGGCTACATTTAGCTGATTTAGCGCTAAATGCGGTGTGTGAATAGAGACTTGATGTGAAGAGCACACCCACATTACGAGTCGATATTACTGCGTGATAGTTTCGTCGCCAATGATATTTGACAAACAGGATTATTTTGATATATCGCACACATCCCTTTAAGAAGTTAACGCATCTGCGACATGACAGTCCAAACACGTTTCAAGTAATCGATATATGACGAATTAATTGTATTTTAATCTTTAATACTTTTTTCAGAGTATATGTGTGAAGCGTGTAAAACTCGATTGTTTAAAAAGTAAATGTTCAATCGATAGTTAAATATTTCCGGTGTAATGACTCATCAAAAATCGAACTAAAATTTTCCCGTAATAACGCAATGCTTCGAGAGAGATAAAAGTGTTTAACTAACTGATGGACCATCAAATTTTAATCTTATCTTACAGTTAAACATAATTTGATTAAATTAAAAACAAAAACATATATTGCTTCTTGAAATACGACCCGGTAAAGTTAAAATGTCAAGTTGCATGTGCGATGAACTAAATGTTGAATTTGAATTTTTTTGACAACCGAACACACTCCAAAATCTTGTTCTTATCAGTCTTCTGGAAGCAATATTCCGACATGTCGATCGTGAGCTCGGTATCAGCGGTGACAAAATTATTGTGCAACAATATCGACCGTACTGAGAGGAGAGAGGAGGCGGGCCGGCCACTTACGAGTGTGTAATGCAATCGGTACGAGGGAGAATCTTCGAGTGGAATTTTAGAGCAACGGGCCGGGATATGCTCTAGAGCGAGGTTCCCTGAAACGCGTTTCGGGGCGTGCGTCGGATGACGAAACTTCGTGCCAAAAGCTGGAGAGTCGACGGGAGAGCGAGAGAGAAGGCGAGAGAGGGAGAAAGGGATATACGGACGGAGTGAGAGAGATAGAGAGAGAAAGAGCGAGCCAAATCGCGTACCGCTCGATATTCGTAGCGTGAGAACGAGATGAGCTCTGATATTCGCGCGCGTTCAGCGAACGAGCGAGAGGAGAGCGCGGCGGAAATTTTCTGTTTTCGAAGGAATGGCAAGATGCGCGGAATGCCGAAATGACGAAGCGGAATGTGTCGAGATGTTCGCGTTGGCGCGAGAACAAGGCCGACGGAATGACGGAAGAAGTACGACTTCTCGGCGACGATCCCTGTAGAAAACAACGACGCACGACTTGGGGCTCGTCTTCTCGGTCGCGAAACGTCGCGGAAATCCGTGTCATTACTTATCGCTCGATATTCAGCTTCGGTCGAGAGCTGCTGACGCCGTGACCAATGACCGGATGTCGCGTGGACGGATAGTAGACGTAAATCGACCCCGTCCGGAAAACATTTGACCGTCGTGGCTGACGTCGTCGGTAGAAGTTCCGGCAGAAGTCACTAGATGCGCGTCGTCAGTGACGAATTAAGACATGAAGGCACCGGGAATAAATACAAATTCTGGTAAACAAATTTCGGAGCTGTTCTTAACTAATCTAATCATCAATAACAATAGACAAATAACTAAAAAATTTGTCCGTAAAACGTACATTACAAAAAATGTACTCGCTATCGACTAATATTATCAGTCTCGCAATCAGCCCATTATTATCACTTATTATTCTTACATGTTTCATATCGAAAATTTTAATACAAAATTTTTAATTAATCAGAATTTTTAAGTAATTTTCAGGAAAGCAACAAGTTATTGATTTTATTTTACTTATATTCGAAGTGATGTTGAAGATTTAAAAATAACAAAGTGTTGAATCAATATTAAATATTCTGTATATTTTTAATATTATTTTTAGGCAATTTTAAGAATTTCAAGAATTAAAATAATTGTAAATGAATTGCTTTTAACATTGTAAGAAACGCGTGGCTCTAGATAATGCCTTATATGTCCGTAGGGAAATCCACTCCTGAAACGCAGTGGTTGTGAATACGTATCAGTCGGGAGCATTGTTGGCACTATGAGCGCTGCACTCGGATCAAACGTTATTTACGTAGTTTTATCCGCCTTCACTCTCGATCCGCTTGGTACATATAGGGTGTTTCTTAACACGTGATCAACTGTTTTTACCAAAAAACAACTGAAATGATGCATCAAGAGACACCCTGTATATATACAGAATGTTACTGAGCATTTTGCTGTATTTATTCTGCTATTATTCAGCTTGTTTCATGCTTTCTGGTTAAAGACAACATATGTTCTGTATATTTCTGACCACATGTCTTCTGTTTCAAGTCTGTTTTGAATGCTCCAATAAGATTTAGCAAATGTTCAGTAACAGTTTAAAACAGAATAAATGCATATTTAAAACACAAATGCTTATTTTTCACGTGACATACACAATATTAATATGAAATAATATGAATAATAAAACTAAGTTTTCTAATGCAGGTTAGATACAATGCAAAAGGTTTGATCTTGTATTGTATATTATTGATGAAATAAAATAAGAAGGATAATGAAATACGATTTCAGAATTACATAGCACGAGTACTCGTTTCGTAGTATTGAATTAAAAATTCAATTACAAGATCAAGCTTTTTGCATCACTACATGTATTACGTATATACATTCTGCGTGTAACAATGACGTCAATCTTTTACCGTGAGACCAAGAATGTGTTCTTCTTTCATTTTTGAATCACGTCTGGTTTAAGAATGCGCAGCTAAGTTGATGGTTTATTGCAGTTTCCCGTAGGCAGAATTCATAGGCATTTGAAAAACAGGACTACGAGTCATGGTCGAGTAGGCGCTACTGCGGCAGTATACAGTGCGGCCATTTTGGAATACCTTACAGCCGAGGTGAGCATATGTGTGTGAGAGAGAGGGAAGAAATAGAGAGAGAAAGAGAGAGAGAAACAAGAGAGGCAGAATACGACAGATTGTAACTGATACTGAAACTGAGGCTGTATTAAATTTTGAATAATATTCTACCAGATGAATACATCATGTATACATCATACAAAGAATAATAACAACAGACAGAATTAAAATAAAAAGAAGCATGCATATAAATAAAAATGACTGAAACCGGTCAAAGAAGGAAAACAGAAATTTATAGATGGTGAATAGCCAATATTACAAATGATAACGATAAAATGCGTAGTTTTATAGATAGGATCAAAAGTTAATTACAGAAAATATTAGAATATTCTATATTAGAATATATTATTTTGATTATTACTTCTCAATGCTTTTGCAAACATTAAATACTATCAATAATTAATCATTAAATTATATTTAGTATTATTATATTTAATTATTAATTCAATGTAGATAAGCACTCTTGAATTGAATATAAATTTATAGTAATTATATTATCTGCAATGTAGATGTGTTTAATAATTAAATATTAATATCTAATAATGTGTTCGCACAAGAGGAAAGAGAAAAACAAAGGAATCACAAACAATGAATAGATAGAAAAAAGAAAACAGAAGGGGATAGGTAAGAGAGAGACAAGAGAGAGGGGTAAAGTTCAGGCGCGATAAAGAACCGTTATACATCGCAGTGTTACGAGTGCTGAGGGCGTTACAATAGTTAAAATAATATGGCTAACTTTCCCGCCTTTATTTTGAAAACATTATATGTACGGATCGATTAAAAATGTTTAATATTAAAGTGTTATATATATATTTGTGAATAAATAGTTAGACAAGCTATTGCGATAAAGAAGAAAGTTGTATAAATAAATGTCGATTAATAGGTAAATTGTCTTACAACAATATCACAACTTTCATTTATTAATGAAAATGTGAATTAAAGAATAGCAAGAATAATGTTACGCAAGAATCTTGATTAATAATTAGGCAGTGCCAAAAATATTTTTAAATTGGTTTTATTTTTACATTGTAAATTATGCTGACTTATAGTTTAATAATTTTATTTTTTTTACTCAGGTGTTAGAGTTGGCGGGCAATGCATCAAAGGATCTGAAAGTAAAACGTATCACACCTAGACATTTGCAACTTGCCATTCGTGGTGATGAAGAATTAGATAGTCTCATTAAGGCAACTATTGCGGGAGGAGGTACGTTTCTTTTTATCATAATCGTTTTTATAACTTATAAGTATTATTATATTATAGTCTGTAATTGTCTCAATTTTTCATACAACTGATGTGAATGCGAAAAACAAGTTGTACATATAAATGATTTGATTGCAGGTGTCATTCCACATATCCACAAATCGCTTATTGGCAAGAAGGGTTCACAGAAACCAGCATAATTTAGCGATAATTGACAATTGAACATTTTAAGATTCGTGGGTAAATGGGAGAAGGAGAAAGAAGCGGTGGAATGTTTGTTGACAAAGTGTACCTAGGTTACTAAATCAATGGCGAGACTGGCGTGATATATACATAGGATATATATAGATATATAAATAAAACAGATAATGATATAATTTAATATAGGTAAAAGTAAGAGATAAAAAAAAACAAATGTTCTTTACACAATTGGCAAACGGGTAAGACAGGGAAAGAGAGACTTTTAGGCCGAGCATAGAAAATTCTTAGTGAGTTGCGAGCGATGCGTTATAGCATGGCTCACTCGAGACGACGGCAGTCTTTGGTACGGTTTGCAATTTACAAGCATTGTGAAAATATCGGAAGTACTTTTCGACGTATATAATAGACGGCTTACTCTTGTAGTGTTTTGCGGTAAAACATCTAATAAAGGACAATGATATTTCAGAGGTATTCTATATTGGTTACACAAAATATAATAGGAAAGGGGGCTTTATATCTGTCAATCCCCCTTTTGGATTATTAGAAATAAATAACAAACCTCTACTGTATTTTTATCTTGTTTCCATTTTCACCGCTGCTATTTACTGTGGTAAATTGTCTATTATATAAGTCACAAAAGTATCAGAAGACGTGTGAAAGCGTTTTTACTTACCATGTTTAAGTATTTATCATATATCGAAGATAAAACTATAAATTTTTTCACCGAATCGCCGTCGCTTGATTTAGCTTTTTCATTTTGCTTTTAACCCGTCACGTATCGTCAAATACATATTTTATTAACTTGTCTCTAAACAACACCGCTCTTGTTTCATTATAAGACATATGCAATGTGCGCAATTTAATTCATTTATTGTTCACACGAATTCAATTATACTCTACATTTATTGCATACACTTATCAGCGTATGTAACTCTAATACACATGTTATGATTTTCTTTTTGTAAAATTTGTCATAATGGAAAACGGACGCAGAGCGGATATTTATTCATATGACTTTCGATATTAGTTTTTGATTCGAATGGCCAAATACATATAGAAATATATAACGAAGTTTCGAGTCTTCGATCTGCTTGTTAAACGTATAAATCTTTTTGTATTTTCACAATTTCTTGCGTTTTTCTCTTGTCAGAATCATAACAATTATAAAATTCTGAAAGTTTTGAAAATTATATTTACTTAAATATATGATTCGGTTGTACATAGCGTTTTTGTAATTGACAGATAAAAATTTTGCTTTGACATGATGTCAAAGCAAATATTTAATTTTGCAATTTAAAATTTGAGATTTTTAAATTAAACGAGTTTTGTTTCGGTGAAATCAGATTGTAGAATGCTTAATTCTATTACGGATTAAGTATTCATAATAATAATAGCGAAGACTGACTTCGGTTCTTGTAAAATAACTTGAAATAGATTTAGAAATGGCTCGAAGTATCCGAAAGTTTATTTATACGTGTAAAGACATCCTGATGTCTATTTGCGCTCCACATTTTTCTTTTACTTTAATATTCATCACTTCTTCGTTATATATATAATTTGACATAATTTTTATTGTACTTTACTACGGTATTACATGGTACATTAAACACCAGCCATATGTAAAACGTTCATTTTCATAATAAAGATAAATTTTATTATTAAACTGTTTTCATATGTGTGGAAATCATAAATTTATTATATTTTATATGAGAACTTTGTTTATATATATATATAGAAAAATATAGAGCTTATTCTTTATAAAAAGAAAAGAAGTCATGTATTTATTTCGACAAGATATTCAATATACTTATTCAAAAAAATAGTATAATCAAGAGACAAAATTACAAGCTTGGTATTTGTACAATTGGATTGAATATTTATACAAGCATCTTAGAATAACATGAGTAAAAAATGAAGAAAAAAAGATCTATTCTCGTGGGACATGTGTCATCCACGTAATCAATTTTGCAAATAGATCCCAGTTCCATTCGATAGAATATCAAATTAACGTATCAAAGTAAAATATGAATATATATACGTGAAATGTTATCGCCGGCAAAACTACACGGCCCTGGCTGTGTAAGCTCGATATACGTGCGCTGTCGCCATCTGGTGTGAGCGGTATTCCAAGTCTCTGAGGTCCCCGCCGACGGCTCTTTCGACGAGCTGTTCACCGGCAAGTTGGGTGAAGGGAGTCGAAGGGAGCGCTCACGCCATTCTCGAATACAAGCGAGACGAAGAGAGGGTCAGAGCTCCCCACTCGCGCGACGGCGCGGCGCTCAGAATCGCAGTTACCTTTCACGAGAACGGTCGGGTCGGTGGTCGGTCGCTCGCCCGCTCGGGGCTGGAGCAACGTTTACGTTTCGCGATTGCCAAGTTCTCATCCGAATCACTCCGGAAATTCTCTCGTCGCCGCCCGGTGAGTTGTTTAGTAAGAGCCGTTTGCGATACGCACGCACGCATCTCTCTGACCTTTCGTTCCGTCATTACGAAAGCGATCCGGGCACACGGTTCACGGTGAGAGGTTGCGTGGTACAGGAGCGAGAATGTGCATCCCGCTGGACGCGTAAATCCTTCGGTCTCGTCCGCATCTCGCGCAGTAGAGAGAGATGTAGAAAGAGACGGGCGTGCGTCTCGTCGCGTGATTCGAAAATGGTTGTTTCAAAAAATCGCTCACCGCTCTGAATGCACGTCTTTTTCGCCTATCTTGCATGACGTTGCCGGTGTTTATGTCGCTGCATCCAAATTAAACGCGCGCGCGTGCTTTGTCTCGCCGGTGATCCTTGCTCGCGACTAGTGCTAGCCGTGCACGAGATCTCGCATGAGATCTCCGATAAAAATATTTAAGGAAAACGTTTATCGTTCTGTCTTCTACCTGTACGCTGTTCGTATTCGACTACGTGTTCGACTACGGACAAGACGAACGAAACCGTCACAGTCAGTCTCTGTTTACGTGCGATTGCTTCATCCAGGTGATTCGTTCAGCATTTTGAAAGTGTGTTATAGTAATCTTTTAATAGTAACAATAATTTGGAAACGCGTATTTACTCCTAATTCTGATTTCTCTCGTTTTCTAATGTTGTTTACGTTGATGTTTATGTTGACAACTTTTTTTGAATTTGAGTTGATATTTATGAATAATAAAAGTGCAATTTCGAATGTTTTTTTGAAAAAAGAAGTAATTGAATAATTCATTTGTATCTTGATTTTGTTAGTTTGTTTTGGATGGTTGGTGACAAAAATAATATTCTTATTAAATCTAATTTAATTATTCTAGCTTATTACATAAAATATACACATTATCGTTTGGCAGTATTTTTTTTATGAAATTATATTATTGAAATTATTGATATTAACAGATTAATAATTAATGAAAGAGACATTAAATACTCTACTGAATTTTGTAAATATGAAAAATATATTGATGCTCTCTTAGATGCTTGCTTAGATAAGTAATAAATATTTTATAATATATTATGACAAAATTTGCTTTTCCGCTTTTAAAATAATGATATTTATTACGATATTTGTGGATAAAAATATTTAAGAATGAATAATATTTACTTGGCACTTTAATGTCGAATACAACAAATCAATTTATCGTACAGTTGCTTAAATTTCATCTAATTATGTCTATAACCTCAAACGATTATTTATTAATAACCCTGAATAGTTAGGATTCATGAACACGTGCGTATAATTATAATTGCATCGTAGCACAGATAAAGGAACGTAATTACGGACGCCTACCTTCGTATTTAACGAATTGAGTAAATCAAAGTACACGAAGTCTTCGCTTAATTGACTCGATCTTTTAGGAACGTAATCGAAAGCAAGTAATTTAATAAAAGCGTAATTTCTTTAGTTTCTAAATCCTTCGAGTGCCATATTATCTTCAGTTACCGATATTTAACGTACCACAAAACGAAACTAGAATTAAATTAGTAAATATATTTATTTTATTGAGATAAATTTTGTTGATTACAAATGAGATAAATAATTTAATCTTTGTATCTATATTTTCATATGCTTCTTGTTATATATATATATTATATTATATATAAATAATAAGAAAATGTCAATTTCTTAAAGTATGCGTAACATTAAGCAGAAAAATCACGACACACACGTCGCGTTTACTAGGCGTTTACTACAAAATTCGATTTGAATTTTCTCAATGTCGCGCAATTTTTTAATTGGTCGCGAGAAATCGCGGCTAACTTAACTCGAGTAAGGATTGCCGTCGGGTCGACATTCGTGTTTCGTTTCGCGACCGGTGTTCTCTCGTCCCATTTGGAACGAAGAAAAACGTCTTCTGTTTCGAAGGCTGGTGCGTGCCGCCGCCGTTCGAATCCCTGGCATGGAATGATCTGCTTGCCGTGACTCTTCCCACGCAGAACGACTGGCCGAGGACTCTTCGAGGATGACGGGCAGACACGCGGAACGAGCCGTTGCTGTTCGGTGAGTCTGTTTTCATTTTCGCAAAATGGCAGCATCAAAACTGTGTTTGCAGTGATGCAGCAAAAATGATTGTTTTAAGTCTAAATGTTTTAGCTGTAGTTTCTTATATTTCTGACATTGAAAATAATAAGATAATAAATATAAGAAATAAAATAATATATTTAAATTTTTAAGAGAAAAGAGAAACAAAATATAGAATAAACAAATAAAACGAAGAGATATATTGGCCAATTCATATATAATATATTAAATTTAAAATATTGATCCAAGAATATGGAGGCACAAATGCAGGACAGTTAGACAGTCAATTTCGAATTTGTACTAGCATTTATACTTTTTCGCGATTATTTTTGTATAGAAGACAATAAATGCATTTATTTTCAGTGTTACACTCCACATATGTAACACTTAACCTATATAATAAAAATTAGTAGGTATGTGAAATCGTGTTCTGTATCCCTCT